GACGGTCGGAGGAGGCACGGCCACAAACAAATCTGGCCCGAGCTCGCCTCTGACGGCGACGGTGCCGAAAATCCTGGCCCGAACTCGCCTCTGACGGAGACGGTTCCGAGCGGTCCAAAAAACATCGGCTTCATCGCAAAAACATCGGAATAACATCGGAATAACATCGGTCAATTAATAATGTTTTTTACAAGTTTCGTGATACATTTCATCGCCTTCATCGCAAAATCATTGGAAAACATTGGAATTTCATCGCACCCCTGGCCCCGTCCGATCCGAGCCTGGATCGCTCCGACCCCGTCCGATCCGAGCTCGGAGCGCTCCGATCCGTGTCCGAACCGAGCTGCTCGGGTTTTTGGGCCCTCCGTTTCGCCCCGACCCCGTCCGATCCGAGCTCGGAGCGCTCCGATCCGTGTCCGAACCGAGCTGCTCGGGAACGTGGGCCCTCCGTTTCGCCCCCCCCCCCTCTCCCGATCCCTGCCTGCCCTCCTCTTTTCCCTCCCAGCTCACCCCGCAACTGCTTTTTCCCTCCCTGCCCCTTCCTGGTCGGGCCTCTGCACGGATGAAGCGCGGCTGCTTTGTTCCAGAGCCCCCTCTCAGCGACATCGTGTATTGTCTTACGAGCACCTCGGGCGTGGAAGTCGCACCGTGACCGCAAGTTAGAAGCTAGCGTGCAACGCGTCCGCCTGAGCAGCCACCCCAAGGAGCCCCCCGACGTTGCCAGAGCCGCAGGGGATGGGGAAGGTGGTGGAGGAGGCGGTGGAGGATGAGGTTTAAGTAGAGGAGGCCGAGGAGCTGGTGGAGGGATGAGTTGGACTTGTTGGACGAGGCATGGGCGGGGTAGGCTCAAGCACGTCGGATTTCAAACGTTACGCTGCTAGAATGTAAACATCTACCCAGATGATTCCCCCCGTGCTTTAGATGCTGTTGCACTGGTCCCTTGATTATCTTCCGCTGGTGCCCTGGGGATTTGTTGGAACCCCATCCTCCGAGATCTGCTACTCCTGATCGTCATCGCTGGCGTTCAACGCGTGGATGTTGTTCAGCTTGTCGAGGCAGTCCTGCAGCTTGGCGATGGGGCCACTGATGATGGCGGGGATCTTCTGGATCTGCTCGGTGAAGTAGGCATCGCCGTACTTGGTCTTCACGTCCTGCATCTTCGTGGTGAGGAGCTCCTTCAGCAAAGTGCCAGGACCTGCCTTGGCCTTGAGCTGGGCCCTCGCGTTCTTCATCGCCACGAACTTCTTGTGCTCCTTCGCCCACTCCCACGCAGGGTCTGTCCCGATCGTGAACTCCAGCATGTCAGCGTTCATGGCGACCTGGCTGAAGAGCGAGACCTGGGCCTGCGCATCCGACGTAGCCTTCCGCGTCTCCTTGGCCTCCAGTTTCTTCTTCTCCTTGGCCGTCGCCACGCCCCCATCCGCGGTGCTCCCAGCAGGCTCACCGTGCGCCTCGCGATCCGAGGTCTTGGCCTTCTTCTTGGCGGAGGGCTCGACGGGGACCCCTGCGGAGACTGCTTTCGCTGCCTTGCGCTTCTGCACTGGGTCTGGCGTCTCCCCCTGGACCTGCGACCCCTCGCGAGCTGCAGGCGTCGGCGCAACTGAGCGCGGCGAGATCTGCGGCGTAGTCGATGGCGTAGCCAATGGCGTAGCCGATGGCGTAGCCGATGGCGCAGCCGATGGCGCGCATGACAACTCAACCTTTGGGACCGCAGCCACAGGCGTAGCACTCGACGGTGCCGCAGCCGCTGGCGTAGCAGACGACGGTGCCGCAACCGCTGGCGTAGCAGATGGTGGGGCCGCAACCGCTGGCGTAGCAGACGATGTGACCGCAGCCGCTGGTGTAGCAGATGGCGAGGCCGCAACCGCTGGCGTAGCAGCCGATGGGACCGCCCCCGTGCTCGGCAGCGACGGCGCCGCCGTCAGTGGGATCGCCGTGGACGGGGAGCCAAGGCTGAGGATGCGCTGCATGTCGGGCAAGGGCACGCCCGAATGCTCCTGCTGCCATTGCGTCCAGATCTGCTCGAAGCGCGACTTGTAGCCCGACTTCATAACCGCCGACCCGCGTGCGCGGGTGCCATTGCCTAAGTATATACATGATGATATTGAATGATGATGATGCTGATGATGTCGATGCTGCTAATGCTGATGATGCTGATGATGATGATGATGCTGATGATGATGCTGATGGTAATATTGATGCTGATGATGATATTGATGATGTTGATGCTGATGATGATGCTGCCGATATGGTGGTGTTGCTGATGGTGGTGATTGTGTTGGTGCTGGTGCTGGCGATGGGGCTGGATGACGACGATGATGCTGACGTTGGTGATGCTGATGTTGGTGATGGTGATGGTGGTGGTAGTGGCGGTGATGACGATGATTGCGTTGCTGATGGTGATGCGTATGCTGACGATGCTGATGCCAATGGTGGTGATGATGATGCTGATGATGCGGGCGCTGGCGATGGCGATGGAGGAGGAGGTTGAGGAGGCGGGAGCGAGCAAGGGAGGGCGGAAGGTGGAGGAGGGACGGAATGGTAAGCGAGAGGTGGGAGAGATGATGTGGGCTTAGTTGCGGGAGTGGCGCAAACCAAATGCATACAAGTACTCTAAGCGGCGGCTGAACTGATTGCAGCGGATCCACTTGCCCGCTAGCTGCTGGCAAGCGATGGCGATGTTGACCGCCACTTCCAAGCCCGTGGTGGTCACGCCGTGGCTGGACTCGAGACCCGCGATCCTCCCGAACGGCTCGTAGGTCCCCCAGTCCTCGTCGGCTTCGTAGAGCGCCCGCGTCAGCCCCCTGCGGGCCTGATAGACCATGAACTCATCCTCGACCCACTTCATGCGGTAGTCCTCCTTGGCTTTGTGCGAGCGCAAGGCCTTGTATTCGTTGGTCATCTTCTCGCTGCCCTTGAGCATGCGCGTGAAACGCTGGCTCATGGGAGCGCGCGTGGGGCAGCTCCTCGCAGCGTAGGCGCTCTCCAACTCCTTGTCCTTGCCCTCCTCGTCGCGGGGGGCGACCTCGCCCGCCGCCTCCATCCGCGTCTGCTCCTCCGTGTGGAGCGCGACCAGGCCAGCTGTCAGCTTCATGATGTTCGGGCCGTCGTCGCTCGGAGCGTGCGGCAGGCTCCCCGTGACGGGCGCAGGGGCTTGAGGGATCTGCTGGGCAACTTCCACTTGCTGGGCAACTTCCACTTGCGGGGCAACTCCCACTTGCGGGGTAACTTCCACTTGCAGGGCCAGGCCTTCTTGATGCGCCACCGCCGTCGGAACGACCTGCGCCTGTGGGACAACGTCCTGCTGCTGAGCTGCTGCCGAAGATCCGTCCACGGTCTCACTGTAGGGCAGTTGGGCGTCCTGCGGCGTCGGCGCCCCCTCGACCTCGACGGGCTGGGGGCCGACGTGCACGGGCGTCTCCTCCGCGGGCGGGTGCGCGGGCGGGGTGTGGTTCACGGGCGGCGACTCGACGATTTCGACCACCTCGGGCGATTCCTCACCTGCACGCGGGTCTGGCGCAAAGCCACGGTCGCCCCTGCCCCCGAAGATGGGCTCGCCCACTTGGGTCATGGGGACGGGGATCTCCTGAGTCTCCTCGGGCTCCTGGATCATGGGGGCGGCGGTCTCGGCGTCGATCTCAAACTGCGTTGCCTCATCCATCCGCTGGGACTCCTGCTGCGTCTGCTCGAGGGGGGGCTGGTAATCGGTCGATGCATCCGTTCTCTGGCGCTTGGAGTCCAACCAGCCGCTCGAGATCGGCGCTGACTCGCTCCGCTGGCCCATCAGCATGGCTTTGGAGATGGTGCTGCTCATGCGGGGTCTGATATCTCAAATCTCAAGGTGTCAACTAACCTCTCTGCACCTCGCAGAAGCAAGCCTAAAGTTGCCATTGTGAGAGAGGAGGGGGAGGGGAAGCGGGGGAACTGGGAGGAAGAGTATAAGGCGGAGGCGGAGAAGGAACGGGGAATGGGCAGGAGACAGGGGGAGAGGGGAGAGCGGGATCGAGGAGGAGGGAGGGGGGATGGCCCCTCGTTCTCATCGTGCATCCTCGCTCCGCCACGCCTATCCTCTATCCTCGCGCCCCTCGCACCGCCGCGGCCGCGACTGGCGAAGCGCGATCACTTCGCGCCTCTGGGGGTGATTAGCGATCTTTTCTTTTTTACTCGAAACTGCCCCGAGTGTCGGAGCCCCGTCAACCGACACTCCTGCCCCCCTCCATGGTCGATCACTCCTCAGAATCCGAATTGACACGGAGGAGGGCGGTCTCCGCGTCCCCGAACATGGAGGTCACTCCCAGGTCGGGCAGCAGCACGGTGGGCGGCCCCGCGCTGCACTCACCCTGCTGAGTAATAAAGAGAATGACGAGGATGAGCGCGGAGGGGAGGATGGGGAAGGGAGGGGTGAGGATAACAAGGACGAGGATGGGGAGGGCTCGAAGGGGATGGAGGAGGAGGAAGAGGACGAGGCGGAGGCGGAGGGGGATGTGCGAGGAGGGGGAGGCCGCTGGACGTGGCGCCTGATGCATCCAGCCCAGGAATGCGTTGCAGACAGGATACATCTTCTCATTATCCTCATCCTCCTTTTCCGCCTCCTCCCATTCCTCCTCATCCCACTCCTTCTCCTACTCAGGTCTGGGGCTGGGATGGGTGGTCGTGGGTGCTGCCTTACTGTCCCCTGTAACCGACCGTCGGTGGGACACGTATCTGGAGTCACAGACGTACGTGCAAGAGACTCGAGGGGGGGCACGCTCCGTCGCCTTTAAGGGATCGTGCCCACCCAGTTGGGCGCTACGGGTCCCCCCCCCTCGAGTATAGTAGAGCCCTCCTTACATCTGAACCAACTGAACCGTCGATTTTTCTTGTTTTTTTATCTCTCAGGTCCTCTGGTCCTGCGTGGGATACCCACGTCTGCGCAGCAACAGCTTCTGACGATGGAAACGTCACTTCACTGGCATGCTTTGTGAGCTGGTATTACTAGCTTCGACCTCTCGACCTCCTGTTCAGATCTCACCCTCACCGTCCGAAGTGATCGCGATCTCCTCCGCATTCACCTGGCTCTCGCTCTCACTCCCCTGCCCCTTCTGGTGGTTCACCCATGGGCGCTGCTCTTTCCATCCGTAGAATACCCACGTGCTCGGGCCACCTTTGTCCCAAGCTGGGATGCCCTCTGCTGGAGGCGCCCAGCCATGGAATGCCCACGTGCTCGGGTCACCTGCGTCCCATGGGGGGGGGGGCCAACGTGATCTTTGCAAGCTCCATGGCGCGCTGCGTGCGGATCAGCGTGGCCTGGTCCTCTAGGTGATTGATCTCGTCCACCTGCTTCTTCATGTACTCCTTGCTCGATGGGTATTTAGGTGGGGGCTCGCTTCGGAACTGTAGGCTGCCGTGCGCCTGGAGCGTGGCGGTCAGCGCTTCCTCGATGCCCTTCAGCTGGTCCGTGATCGTCTGCATGATCTCCCCGAAGATGATGGCCTCCAGGGTGCTCCTCGTGTTTAGCATATGCGACCTGAGCAAGATACTGTTGAGCTTTCTCTTCTGCGCCGTCAGGTAGTCGATCTGCGTCTCGTACTTCTTCTTCACGTCTTGCGTCATTTTCTGGCACTGTTTGATGTTCTTCTCCTGCAGTATCAGCGCGTAGTTGAAGTCGCCAATCTCTGGGTCTTCGGCATCTCCGCGATACGCAGGCACCTCGGGCACCTTCGGCAGAGACTCTGGCATCGTTCACACTGCCTCCGTTGGTCGGTGATACCGTCCGCGGCGCCCCGCACTCTGTACTCTTGCTAAGCCAGATGTGCTACGGAGGAGCCCCTCCCTTTGTACATGCCCCAACACATCCCCAGTGTCGTTCCAGCTGCTCAGTTGTCGGGTGTAGTAGTCGGACGATGGGGCCAGGGGCTCTGGAGCCCTGATGAATTCCTCGGGGCCCCTTTATTGTCAAGAAAACAACAAAAGACGCTGCAATTACGACATACCGATGCGCACCGACGTAGGAACCTGCACAAAAGCACTGTCCAGTTGTGTTTACTACCGAGTGCAGCATTCCCTTCACCCCGTTCTGCGTCTCCAGTTCAAGGTATTCCTTCTGTCCTTCTCCTCCTCCTCCAAACCTCTACTGCAGCAACCCCCCTCCCTGCAAGGCGCCCCCCCATCCCCATCCTGCCGTCACATTTCCTCTGTATGTAGATGCCGTCTTCTCCCATGTATGTAGTAGTCGCCAAACATAAACACATGCAATCCCAATTGAACCCAGTGGTATGTTCCCCCCCTCTGGTGAAACGCCCGTGGCCCGCCGTACTGCTATGTGTTTTGTACGTTGCCTCCTCTTCCACTATCCCGTCCTCCTCTGCCTCCTCGACCTTCGGCTTCGTGCGTCAAAGCTTCTTGTCGTTCTGATGGGGCCCGATCCTTCGCTAGCTCCACGTCTGAGCAGGCCAGCGCGCGCACGCGCTTGTCATCGCCCTCGTTCTGCGAATCGACCATCGCAGGGCGCGCCGAGACCGCGGCCGTCCGAGCGGCTGTCTGGGGCGGGCCTTGGGGCCTCGAGCACCGCGGCGAAAGGCGCGAGGAGGGCAAGTATGGCCCATGTGTCTCTGGTGGGTCACAGTGGTCTTGCGAGGGCCCGCTTGGGAGCTGCTAAGACCTTGCAGGTGGTAATGCTTTTTGATCCACTGTGAACTTTCAGGACCTCGACGCCGTTGGGAGACCACAGGGAGTGTGAGCACGTTTGGGACCATGAGTGCCCGCCTGAGGACCCTTGAAACCTTTCGGGCCCGCCTGGGGTGCCCTCGAGCCCACCTGGGGATCTCTAGGACCTTGGCCCCGCCTGAGGACCCCTAGGGTCATCCGGGCGCGCCTGATGACCTCTGGGCCTCCAGTGGCCTAGGTCTGAGCGCGCCTCCCCCTGACTATTTCACCAGGCGACCTCCTCACAATTTCACGCTGCAGCGTGCGAGATCATGCAATTACCCGCGCAGCGGTTCCGAACGTAGCATCGTCAGCAGCGGGGGCCCCCACGCCAGGGCGGGGGCGGAGGTCGCCCGAAGGCGCTGGCTAAGGGGCCCCCGCGGCACGGCCCTGGCGGCCGAAGGGAAGGGTGTTGCGCCGAGTATGCAGGCGGCCGACGAGGGTCAAAGCCCCACCTGCACACCCAGCGCCGCACAATATTGACCTCCGTATCTGTGGACATCAGGGGCTGCCGAAACCGACCGCCACCCGTTCGGGAGCAAGGCTTCAGACTTCTGCCGTTTGGACGGCCCCCAAATCACCGCCCAAGACGGCACCCCCAAGACGGCGCCCCCGAGGCGGCACCCCCGAGACGGCCCCCCCAGACGTCCGCCAAGACAGCGCCCCCGAGACGGCATCCCCAAGACATCGCCCCCAAGACGGCCCCCCAAGACAGTGCCCCCCAAGACGGCTTTCCCAAGATTGCACCCCGAAGATGACCGAATCACCGCCGACCCGCGCCGAATGCTCTAGGGTCACGAGGCGTAATCCGCGGGCCTCCGCTCGGACCCCCAGGCGTATGAGGTATACGATGTACATATTGAAGTATGTATGCATCTACATATGCACACACGTGTTAAACAGGTGTGTGCATATATGTATGTATCGATGTGCATGTTTATATGTCTGTCTGTCTGTCTGTCTGTCTGTCTGTCTGTCTGTCTGTATGTATGTATGTATGTATGTATGTGTATGTATATATAAATATAAATATAAATATGCACAGATCGGGCATCCATGAGCTTCGTGTCTGAGCGGGCCTTCCCTCGACTATTTCACCAGACGATCTCCTCACAATTTCACGCTGCAACGTGCGAGATCATGCAATTACCCGCGCAGCGGTTCCGAACATAGCATCGTCAGCAGCGGGGGGCCCCACGCCAGGGCGGGGACGGAGGTCGCCCGAAGGTGCTGGCTAAGGGGCCCCCGCGGCACGGCCCTGGCGGCCGAAGGGAAGGGCGTTGCGCCGAGTACGCAGGCGGCCGACGAGGGTCAAAGCCCCACCTGCACACCAAGCGCCGCACAACATTGACCTCCGTATCTGTGGACATCATGGGCTGCCGAAGCCGACCGCCACCCTTTCGGGAGCAAGGCTTCAGACCTCCGCCGTTTCGACGGCCCCTAAGTCACCGCCCAAGACGGCACCCCCAAGACGGCACCCCCGAGACGGCACCCCCGAGACAGCCCCCCCAGACGTCCGCCAAGACAGCGCCCCCGAGACGGCCCCCCCAAGACACCGCCCCCAAGACGGCCCCCAAGACAGCACCCCCCTATGACTGCACTCCCAAGACAGCACCCCGAAGATGGCCGAATCACCGCCGACCCGCGCCGAATGCTCTTGGGTCACGAGGCGCAATCCGCGGGCCTCCGCTCGGACCCCCAGGCGTATGAGGTATTATATATATATATATAGCTATAACTCAATGTATGTGTGTGTCTTTCTACTTATAAATGTATACACACCTACATAAAACAAGGTGCATCTATATATGCATCTCTAAGTTTGTCTACTAGTATTTATACTTTATAAATCGATGTCTGAGTGAGCCTTCCCCTGGCCATTTAACCGGGCGACCTCCTTTCAATTTTACGCCGCAGCGTTCGAACACATGCAGTGGTTCGAACATGGCGTCGGCAGGAGTCCCCACGCCAAAGCGGGGATGGACGTCACCTGAAGGTGCTGGCGCCCCCGCAGCACGGCCCTGGCGGCCGAAGGGAAGGGCCAAGCTTGCGAATGATGCAAGCGGCCGACGAGGGTCAATCCTGCACACCATGCGCCGCACAATCCACGACCAATTATGTACATCGACCCGAGCTGTCGATGCGCTGCAAGAAATCTGTTGACGCCATGGGCTGCCGAAGCCGACCGCCCCCGGTTCGGGAGCAAGGCTTCAGACCGCCGCCCCCAGTCTTGGAAGGCCCCCAAGACAGCAGGCGGCACCGCCCAAGACGGCACCCCCCAGGCGGCGCCCTCCCACCCCCAAGACAGCCCCTTAAGACGGTTCCCAAAACAGCGCCCCCAAGACGGCCCCCCCAAGACATCGCCCCCCAAGACGGCACTCCCAAGACAGCACCCCGAAGATGGCCGAATCACCGCCGACCCGCGCCGAATGCTCTTGGGCCACGAGGCGTAATCCGCGGGCCTCCTCTCGGACCCCTAGGCGCGTAAGGTACTACATATCTATTTATATATATACATATATATATATACACATCCAGACATACATACATACATACATACATACATACATACATGTATATATGTATGGATATATATATATATATATATATATATATATATATATATTCATACATACATATATATACATATTTACATATGTGTAAACCTATACATATGCAAATGTGTAAATTAACGTAATGTATAATATTATAAAACAGTGGTCGCATGTTATATGGTGTTGCGCAATGAATGTATGATCTTACATTGTAAACGCGTATACGTATATGTTAGATGTCATTAAAGTACTTGTTGTGTGTTGAACAAGTTTGAGGACAATTTTGTTGTGTTGAACAATTTTGAGGACAACTTTGCTTTGTTGAACAAATTTCAGGGCAATTTTGTTGTGTTGAGCAATTTTGAGGACAACTTTATACGTGTTGGAAAAACTTGAGGACTAAATCCAAGAGCGTTGAAAAACAGGGACTAAAATCTAGTCTCAGACGACCTCAGGGCAGTTAATCACGTCGCCCGTCTTCCCGAACAGCGCATCAAACTTGGCCTCGGCAACCTTGGCCCGGGCGTCGCCGCCATCGACGCGCGCGCCGCCCGGCGCGACGCCCGTCGCCTGGCCCCCGGGCGCCGACGCGGGAATCTCTTTCGCGCGGCCCTGTTCGAGATCAACCTCTCGCCCTTTTCAACTCGCCAGTCTCTAATTGCACCCGCAATCTCATGCCGGGCACATTGCCGACAACGGCCTTCTCCTTGTCCAGCTTAGCTTTGGTCCGGACAGCGCCCGGCCACTTCTCACCCTCGGCCTCCGCCGCCGCCGCCGGGGGCGCCGCGCCGCCGCCCTGACTCCGGATCCGCCCTACTTTGGCTTGTTTTCCAACTTACCATTGCGTCGGAAACCCTCCCATAAGAAGCCGAGAAAGTAGGTCGGACATTTCCGCCCCCATGAAGCAAGACTGGCACGTTCGCCCTACTTTTTTGAGCGTTTCTACTCGCTGTTGAAGTCGCGCGTCGCCGAGCGCGCATTTGTTCGGGTCCGAACCGCAGAAAAGTGCGGCGGATGCATAGTCAAGTTCGCGCGGCGCCTCTTTTCGAAGCCACCCAGAACGCCGCGTCAGAGCAACGGGGCCGAACGGTCCCCCACTGCCCGCGGGGTTGACAAATTAGCCCACGACGCAGAGACATGTTGTCATCTGGTCGCCGCGGCCCCGCCGCCCGCGCCGCGGCCCAAGAGGGTCCCAAGACGGTCAAAGACGGCCGCAAGACGACCCGCGATGCTTCGAAAATGACCCAGGAAGGCCCCGCGGTGCCCCCATGCGGCCCGCGCCCACTGATCCCCGCCCAAGCGTTGTCGGGCTGGCCCAAATCTTGCCCGACAGGCCTGAAGGAGGGCTTCAAGACGGCGCCGCAGCGAGCCAGAACGGCCTCCGAGACGGCTGACGCGGCCCGAGATGGCGCCATCGGCCGCGCGCCGCCCGGGTCGTTGCCTGTAGAAAGGAACCGC